TTTTGTTCACCTCTGCTGTGGCCAGGTATTGAACACACAACTCTTCGGCTTAAGCCACTAGATTACTTCAACCAACGCTTTTATCCTCTGGAGACATTAGTGTATGATTTTTTTTTTTTTACCAGAGTTCATATTACAACGTATACCATCTGAAGAAGGCCGGAACGTACAACGGCTGAAATATCGTTAATATGGCAATAAAGATGAGGCCAATCGTTATCTTCTGTCTTCTTAATTTTTCCGCTCTTTTATCGACCTCAGTTCTTAATGTTTTTTTCTCATATTCTTTCCCACATATTCTAAATGATGCGTCTTAGTGGCTTTATTGCCTTGCTTGGAGTGAAAAGATTAAAAGAAATACAGTTATATACTAAAAGGTTCGGTTAGAAATTCCAACAGATATCACCTGAAGAAGACCGGAGCGTACAACAGCTGAAACGTCGTGAATATGACAATGATGAGGACAGTAGTGCGAAAAGTGTAAATAGTGTAAATAGTTACAATACCTAATCTAAGAAATATAGAAACACATTTATATATTAGAACATTTATTTTAAACAACATAATTGCATTTAAGGATTTTTGTTTGTTTTTTCCAAAATTGTTCTTCATTCTGTCGGATCTATATCCATTTACATTTGCTTACATATTACAACGTATATCACCTGAAGAAGTCCAGATCGTGCAATGGCCGAAACGTCGTGAATTTGACAATAAAGATGAGGACAATAATCCGAACAGTGTAAATGGTATAAATATTTACAATAACTCAACTCAGAAATATAGACACACACATATATATTAAACTGTATATCACCTGAAGAAGGCAAGAGCGTACAATAGCTGAAACGTCGTGGATATGATAATATAGATGAGGACAATAGTGCGAACAGTGTAAATAGCGTAAATTGTTAAAATACCTCATCTCAGAACTACAGACACACATCTCTCTCTCTCTATATATATATATATATTCCGTATACACCAAATCTATACTTGTATATATATATATATATATATATATATATAGAGAGAGAGAGAGAGAGAGAGAGAGAGAGAGAGAGAGAGAGAGCGTGAAGGGAAAGAGAAGAGAGAAATAGAAATACAAACACGATCAACTAATGATGGAAGTGAACGCTATTACCAGACACAATGGAAAAGAAAGATTCTCTTTGAGTTGAAAGTAAGTAACCAAATTTATTAACAAGAAGAAAGGGAATAGTCATTTAGGTGGCGTGAGATTTTCGTCAAAAGTCCGACTAGTAGCTGAGTAGAAAATTATGACAATATATTAGGCAAAGTAGTTTGTGCTGTAAACGGATTATGCACAGGAGTTGTCCCCGCTAAAAATAACCTTTGCGGACGCTACAACACCGAATAGTTGATTTGAGGAAATTGACGCCTTTTACGTCAGCATTGGTAACATTATAAAGGAAAAGAAAGCAACAACCACAAAACAAAAAGGAAAAAAACAAAAAAAAAAAAAAAACACAAAGAAAAAAAAAAAAAAAAAAACACAGTTTTTATGGGCGTCTTTCTTTTTAATTTATTGGGTACAATAACAGAAACTTTGTTATATAGTTAGCAGCATTAATGAGAGCTCGCGTGCCTCGAGTGAAAAAAAAACAAACTTCCAGGACTCAAAGTCTATCAACAAAAGTAATATCTAACATCCCATCATCATATAAGTTTTTATACTTGTACAAACGAGAATGTCATTTCAATATAAGTTTGACAATATAAAATAACTTACTAAGTAACTCTTAGTAACAAAATCGTTGATATAACCTGAAACACACCTTGATGTATATCTCAAATGAATACAAGCCCCTTATAAGAACCATAGGAGAAGGAAAGATGTCTTCAAAAAAGCTAAGTATATAAGCGTTTTTCATGTTTCCATTTTCTCTGACAATTTGTTGTGGCTCACATGTTCGGAAACAGAAAAAAATCGTTTGAAACAATCTGCTGAACTGTTACGTAATATCAGTCTTCTTCTATGGCAGTGAATGCTGAACAATCTCCTCACAGATGAAGAAGAGACTTGAAGCAACAGAAACAAAGAAAAGAGTACTGAACTAGTAAGTAATATCAATCCTCCTATATGGCAATGAATGCTGGACAATCTCCTCAGAGATGAAGAAGAGACTTGAAGCAACAGAAGCAAAGAAAAGAATGCTGAACTGTTATATAATACCAGTCCTCATATATGGCAGTGAATGCTGAACAATCACCTCACAGCTGAAGAAGAGACATGAAGCAGCAGGAATGTTGTTCTACATAAGGATACTGAGAATAACATGAACCGAACATGTGAGTGACAACAAAATTTCAGAGAAAATGGAAACGCTTATATCTAACATCAGAAAAAGAGAGTTGAAATTTCTGGGGCACATAATGAAGAAAGAGGACTTGGAAAATTTGATACTCACAGGGCCGATTAAAGGCAAGAGGGACAGAGGAAAACAACACATAACCTCTCTATATTTCTGAGATAAGTTATTGCAATCTGGCAAAAAAAGATGAGGACAAGGGTCCAAACAATGTAAATAGTGTAAATAATTATGGAACCTCATCTCAGGAATATAAACAGATCCTGAAGAAGGACGAAGCGTACAACGGCCGAAACGTCGTGAATATGGCAATGAAGATAAGGACAACGGTCCGAACAATTAATAAAATATATATGACGCAGAGCGTACCAAGCGAGCTTGATGGCGGGACAGGGTTTTGGAGAGATCACACAATTTATTAAGTGCTACAAAATACCGGAAATTGTGGATAGCCATGATCGCTAACGTCGTGAAAGGACCCGTCACATAGATAAAAAATTCATTGGTTCAATAACAGAACCTTTGTTATTCAGTTATCAGCAGTAATGACAGCTTGTGTGTCTCGTGTGAAAAAAGAAATCTCCAATATTCACAGTCTATCAACAAAAGTAATAGCTAACATTCTGTCCTCGTATAAGTTTTTACGCTTTTATCTTATAAATGAAAAAGAAATACATTTCAATGTAAGTTTGGCAATATAAATTAACTTACTAAGTAACATTTAGTAAGAAAATCGGCGATATAAATTGAAACTCACACTGGTGTATATCTCAAATGATTACACATGTTTTACTCCTTATAAGAAATATAGGATTTTAACGCGGACACGGGTTTCATTTTTGAACAGGAATTAGTACTCAAGTTGTGTAAATTATTTTAAATAATAATAATAATTGAGAAAATTGAATGAATAAATTGGTAGAGTTGGTAGAATTAAATACAGGATTATAGCCGACAATTATTTAACATATTTTCATTTTATATGTTATTTATTAGATACAATTTATTTGAGTAAATGCACTGTTTTTTTTTTTTTTTTAATAAACAGTATTAATTACATTTACCGGCCTAAATGTTTGTGAAATTTTGTAGAAAATATGTGCTTCTCTGACAGGAATAGAATCTATAATTCCAATGGGAACCATTATTTGATCTGATGTGCTGTAAACCATTCAGCCACAAAGAAGCATCTGTTTAGCAAAGTCCGAATTACTGTTTATAAACAACAAATCCTTGATGATCTTTCCCGAACAATCATATCAGCTCACAAAACGTAACTTAACCTAAACATTGACAACATATTATGACATAGGTTAAGTCCGAAAATTATTTAATATATTTTTTGTTTATACATTATTTTATTACATACAATTTACTTCAGTAAATGCTCTCTTTTTAAAAATAAACAGTATTAATTACATTTACAGTATAGAATGTTCGTCAAATTTCGTAGAAAAAATGTGTTCTCCGACAGGAACCATACCTGTGTCCTTTACGAAAAAGTCAATTGATCTGACGTGCTATACCACTCAGCTACAGAGAAGCTTCTGGTTAGCAAAGTCCGAAATACTGTTTAAAAACGACAAATCTTCGACGAACTTTCCCGAACGATATCTGCTCACGAAATGTACCTTAACGTAAACATTGGCAACATATTAAATAACTGTCGGGCTTAATCCATTTTATAATATGTTGTCAATAATGTATAAACAGAAAATATATTAAATAACTCTTTTCTGCTTAATTTTATCTCTCTTTTTTTAAAAAAATCATTTCACCCCAAGCAAGGCGCTAATGCCACTAGTACGCAAGGGGTACAGAGTATAAAAGTGAGAGAAAAGCCTGGGTATAGGGGGAATTGAGAAAAGGACAAAAACTGAATGGAATCCAAAAAGTTTGGAGATAGCGATTGACATTGCATTTAAATTTGTGAAGATTTCAAGGAAGCATTTAAACGGAAAGGAATTCCACGGGTGGGATGTGCGAGAAAAGAAACTGTTGGAGTAGAAGTGTCGGTTGCATTTAACTAATTCAACATTAAACGAGTGGGACCTAGGTGCCAATCTAGTAGCATGCTTGAATTCACGTAGTCGGGGTACCTGTAAAAAAGCTCGTCAGACCAGTCGTCATGAAACTATTTGTGGAAGTCAGTGAGAAAGTGAGTGAAGTCGAGATGCCAGGTCAGGATGGATTACATTACACATTCTTTGAATTTTATCAAGAATCTTAAGATGAATTACATGAACACCAGACTAGATATGGCAACAGAATTCAATCCACCGTAATTGTGCAAAATGGAATCCGATGAGAAAAAAAATTGACACACAATAATAATTGCTCAGTCATAGAAGCCTTACTAATTAATCCATTGCTGGAGGGAAGAAGAGCTGGATTCATGCCTTTCCCAGTGGTATTTGTGTGTAAGGCATAATAACGAAACCAACTGGAATTGGAACTCGGCTCTCCGATTAACAATTCCGAGCCATTATCCAGTATGTCTTCGCACATCTACGCTTGCAACTCGTAGTAGTTATTTTCCAAGGTCATCTTAGATGTGGCACAAGGCCGAAAGTATAGGGCACCCAGGAAGGATCGAACTCTCTACTCAGTCGTAATTGTTCTAGCTAGACAAGATGGATAACCATTACACCGCCTCGAGGTGACAGGAGCACGTATTATTCCCAAGCGGTCACCCATCTCGGTAATGACCAGGCTCGACGTTGCTTAACTTTGGCGATCGTACGGGAACCGGGGCTTCAACGTGATATGACCTTATGCCTGATAATAATGTTCGCTTTTTAAAATAAGCTATGTTATATTTTCACAACCGATTTTCAATGATTTTCACAACTGATATATGAATTTTTAAAAATAAATAACAGAAAAATATAATTCACAATCCACTTGTTCTAGGGGTGCACGTCGGTGGAATATAAAATTTCGATAAAGCTCTAGAAAGCAGGGTCGAGTAATTGATAGCGGCTCGGATTGAGGAATCGAAGAGCCGAGTTCGAATTCCAGTCGAATCCATTATATTCACTTACGTGCTGATAACCTTGGGAAAGGTATGAATCCTCTTCTTCTCCCCCCAGCTTTGGGTAAATAGTAGAACAGACCGGGTTCTATTTTGGTGGCAATTATAATACGAATTTAGGAAGGTAAGAAACCGAGAGCCTAGTTCGAATTTCAATAGAGTTCATTGCATTCACTTACGTGTTAAGACCTTTGGGAAAAGTATGAATCCAACACTTCTCCCCCCAGCTATGGGTAAATAGTAAGACAAACCGGGTTCTATATATCGTAGAAAAAATGGCAACCTACTGCGGGAGAAAAAATCTCCCTCGTCCGATACATGATCGCTTAAGCTGACTCTGTGAATGACTGACTCAATGAAGCCGAATTTGTATTCCAGTCGCGTTCATTGCATTTAAATTTTGGAAAATGCCCTTGGGGAAAAAAATACGGATGAATCTATTTTCCCCCATCTGTGGGTTAAATAGCAGAGCACACTGAGCTCTCTAGTCATTATTGGAAATCAAAGAAAAAGAAAAAAATGCCTTTGCAGCCGTACGTAACCCTGAAGCTAAACCTGAATCGAAGGCTGTTCCTTTGGCGAGGCCCAGCACACAGAATCCACCCCAAGTTTACTGGGAAGACATAGGCATGCCAACCTCTATGGACTATTTAATGCTGAAATCTAAATGCTTTTTACACAATTTTATGACTTCAACGATATATAATTTGTACATAGTTTTATACTTGCAGGGTAACGAATTATTTTTTTTACATATACAGTATAGTTTGTAGATGATAAAATTTCTTGTAGGTAATTTCGCTAGAAATAGATTGTTGCTATTTTTTTTAATAAATATGTAATGCTTGTAATTTTTTCATAAACATACATTATTAGAATTTTTTAGTGTTGATTGTCAATTTGCTATAAAAATATATTGTTGGTCATTTTAATTATAAAATGTATTGTTGGTAAGTTACTATAAAAATGAATTGTTGGTAATTTTATTATAAAAATGTATTGCTTGTACTTTTATTATGTATTGTTGATTTTTGTTTGGTGGATTCACTATTTACCCATAGCTGAGACCCTAACAGGTGCTACCACCCTGTTTCTTGGTGAGTCTGCGAACAACAGCAATTAAGAGCTGGTTTCACTCTCCGCAAAAAAATCCAATCTCCTGATCGGGTGCCATGCTGCCGGATATAGTTTATCGTCATACCCAGGACGAAAAAAGAAAATCGTCTCGATTATATACCCAAAACATCACTTTTAAATTAAAAAATCCCCCGTTCTTCTGTAGTTTATTGTCGTCTATCTCATCTAGTCCTTCATACCTATAGTGATGAAGGCCCAACCAAGAGACCTCCATAGATGCCAGCTTAAAAGATTCCTGATAGGGCTGCTTTTCAGCTAGTTTTACTATGAAAGTTATTGTTGGTTATTTTATTATAAAAATGTACTGTTGATATTTGTTTGGAGGTCCCTAACAGGCGCTACCACTCCAGGTGAGGGTGGATCTGGGAACGATAGAAGGTAAGAGGTGGTTTCATGCTCCTCAAAGCCTCCAATCTCCCAATCACATACCTTGCTGCCGGATGTAGTTTATCTTCATACCCAGGACACACGTACCGGAAAATGAATAATAGTATATAAAAAAACATATGTGCCGTGTCCCTTCAGGACACTTGGATTTTACTCTTTATAGGGGACATCAAGAGTAACTCACATAAGATGCATGGACTGATAAAATATCTTAAGATCCATTACCAGCTATACATTTTTGAATGAAAAAAAAAATTACCAGCTATATATTTTTGAAAAAAATATTACCAGCAATAAAAATTGTCGGCATTAAATAACCCATTGGGGTTGATATGCCGTAAAACAAACCAAACCAAACCAAACTTTGTAACCATGGATGTGCCATCCTTATATTCTAACAACCCATATAACAACCCATAGCCTTAAACATTTTTTAAGTACCAGAGGCTTCCACGAGCACCGTAGACTAGATATTTCTAACATTATATACTTTATACTCACACATAACTTCCAGTTCAACGAGCACCATTTTCTTCAAGTTAAAGGCACTGCAATGGGGACGAAAATGGTCCCCAGCTATGCTAACAGTTTCATGGATGCCCTTGAACAAGATCTGTTTACTAGATACCACCTGGAATCCCTACACTGCCACAGGTACATAGACGACATCTTCTTCATATGGACACGAGGAGAGAACAATCCGCTAGATATTTGAAAAGAAAAAACTTAATAATTCCCACCACAACATCAAATTTACTATAAAATATTCTACCACTTCCATTCTGTTTCTGGACACACTGGTACGTCTCTACTACACTATACACCAAGCCTACTGATGGTCATTGCTACCTGAATTTTAACAGCTGCCATCCCAACAATCTAAAAATATCTATAATCTACAGCCAATGATTACACATTAAACGCATCTGTTCTCACAAGAAAGATTACAACATACACATAGGACTTTACAATCACTTTCATAATAGGAATTACCAAAGACTCTATCACCAAAGCTTTCAAACATAACGGAAACACTCTCCTCAACTATGTAACTGAAAAGAACAATTCCAGAATCCCCAGAGTCTTTGATTTTAATTATAACATCCACAAACTTTCCCACACCGTAACTAAAGATTTCCAACATTTAAAACTAGACAACACTATTAATAAATTATTTAGAGATAATCCCTGCACGCGAGGCGACAGACCCCAACCTCTTCAGTCTTTTAATATCATCAAACATCTGCAACACATCGCTTAAATTCATAAAGTTCGATGAGCTGCTTTTCGCTGGTTCCGAAACTTCATGAATTTAAGCGTTCTACTAGCCTGGCATCTCACTCACACCCTTTCACTGTCGAAACTTTTAAATGTAGCCGTCTCTTCTACTCCAATAGCTTCATGTCTCGCACCTCTCGCCTGTGGAACTCCCTCCCCATTTCTTGTTTCCCTGATAGCTATAATCTCCAACTATTCAAATGTAATGTCAATCGACATCTCCAGATGCCCTGATCTATCTCCTAACCTTCTCTTCATCCTTTCCTCTATCACTCCTCTTTGCTCTCACTCCAACTCTCTGTAACCCCTTGCATGCTAGTGGCTTCCCGTCTTGCTTGGGGTGAAACGCTTAAGAAAAAAAAATCACCATACCATCGCAATGTCATCTGCAACAAACCCCGCTGCCTGGTCTACAAACACATCATTACTCACATCAACACCCCACCCAGCACACACATGGTATTCAAACGGCCGGCTCTAAGCTGTGACAAATGCGGGGAGGGAACTTATATGGGAGAAACCGGAACACAGTTTCGTCTCAGGTTCAATAACCACAAGAAAAAAAACCAGGGTCAGTAACAACAAACCGGTCTCTGCACACTTCAACCAACTTGGTCATAGCATCGACGATGTCGGGTGCGTGTTTTTAGTGTCTTGGTTCGATAGCCGGCAGGACAGACGCAGATCGGAGTTGAAGTATATCCTAAAAGTAAATTCCCACATTGAAGGACAAAACAGGGATTTGGGTTTACTCAGAGACAGTACAATTTCCATAAGGAAACCTATTATCAGCAACATCACTTCACCGATGAGTAAGCCCTCTGTAGGCTCTCAGAGTAGGCTCTCACTCTGTGCAGTAGAAAATGGCCGCAAACTACATGAAAATTGCCGTAGAAGCATGAAAAAATCGATTATTTCCACTATCCTTGGGAAATGCAAATGCATAATACCTCATCTCAGAAATATAGACAGATACTGAAGGGCTGAAACGTTGTAATAAATATGGTGACAAAGATGAGGACAATAGTCCGAATAATGTAAATAGTGTACATAATACCTCATCTCAGAAATATAGACAGATACTGAAGGGCTGAAACGTTGTAATAAATATGGTGACAAAGATGAGGACAATAGTCCGAATAATGTAAATAGTGTACATAATACCTCATCTCAGAAATATAAACAGATACTGAAGGGCTGAAACGTTGTAATAAATATGGTGACAAAGATGAGGACAATAGTCCGAATAATGTAAATAGTGTACATAATACCTTATCTCAGAAATATAGACAGATACTGAAGCGTTGAAACGTTGTCATAAATTTCGGACAATTCTTATGAAGATATAAAGCATAGGTTAAAGATAAAATGTCGTTGTAATAGAATAATTTCATTTTAAATATGTTAATTGCAGAAAATGGTAGACTAATTAAAAGTATATGTATTCGAAATTTTTCTGGCTGACTTCTAACGGAACCGGCGGTAAATATCCAATCAAATCTCATGTTAACAATCGGAACTTTTTTAAGTCTGGAATCTATGTATAACTTTCAAAAAGTGCTGATTCCTTATTATTTAAAGAAAACGTTCGAAGAATTCATATTTTAATCTCCAAAACGTATTCTTGAGTATATGTGCTAAAATATGATGGATATTTATGGCCTATTGTTTTGTTTATTTTTTTTGTTTTTATGGGTTTTTTTTCGTTTTTTTTCGTTTTTTTTTTTTAAGCATTTCACCCCAAGCAAGTCGGGAGTGCCAACTAGCACGCAAGGGGTTACAGAGGGTAGAGAGCAAGAGTAAAGTGGAGGATATAGATGACTGGGATCTATGTCAAGGCATCAGAAAATGTCGATTGCCATGACATTTGAATATTTGAAGTTTATAGTGATCATGTAAGCAAGTAAGAGGAAAGGAGTTCCGCTGTCGGGAAGTGCAAGAGAAGAAGCCTTTGGAATAGAAGAGGCGGTTACATTTAACTGTTTTGACTGAAAGGGTGGTACCGAGATGCCAACCAAGTACCACGCTTAATTTCAAGCAGTTTAGGAACCAGTGAAAGTGGCTCGTCGGAGCAGTTGCCATAAAATTCATTTGTAGAAAAGACAGAGGGAAGTCGTAGCACATCTGTGAGAAAGCGACTGTAGACGAGATGCCAGATCAAGACCTATCACGCTGCATATCCATCTCTGGATATTTTGTCGAGGACCTCGAGATGAATAACGGGGTACAGGAAACCATATATGGCAACAGTATTCACATGCAAGGACCGACACAGGGAACCAAGTTTCTAGCTATTGATTCAGCTTATACCCGTTAAAAAGTGACCGTGCCTTGCTAAAAAAAAAAAGAAAAAAAAAGAAAGGACGTTTACGCTTTTGAGTGTAGCCAGTACGCTAATCCGTAGGCAGCCGCTCGCATGCAGGGAGATTGGCATCGTCATCATCTCCTTTCTCCCCTCTGGTGATGATGGAGGTCGGTGAGATGGCCGTGAAGGCCCAGCCGACTCCTGAAGAGTCGTGAGCAGGAGTTACAGAAGAGTGTGCGTTGTGGACACGGCAGGGGGCGAGTCGGTCTCTCTTGGCAGCACGCTCTTGATTCTCTTCATGTTGATGGTTGAACACGAAAGTTTTAGCCCACCCTCAACCACAACCAGTAAAGGATGGTTGTAAACTAAATACATTTGCAACAAAATGGCAGTTTACTTTGTGAGCAGAGAAAAGTTGGGAAAAACATTGAAATACAGAACATATATGTCGTCATTCGTTAAGAAATAGATTAAAACTTATAAAAAAATATTTGTTTAATCAAATTTTCTTAATATATTAATTTATCTATCTATCTATCTATCTATCTATCTATCTATCAAGTCAACCTGTTCCTATCTATCTCACAACTTTCTTTCTTTCTTTCTTTCTTTATTTCTTTCTTTCTTTCTGTTTTTGTCTGTACATGTCTATCTATCCATCTATCTATCTATCAGTCTGTTCATATCTATCTCAATCTGTTCATATATATATATATATACATACATATATATATATATATATATATATATATATATATATATATATATATATACACACACATATATATATATATATATATATATCTCTCAAAGTGTTCTTTCTTTCTATCTCACACTGTTATTTCTCTCTCACTTTATTTATTTATATTTCAGTCTGTTCATATCTATCTATCTATCGATCTATCTCAGTCTGTTCGTTATCTATCTATCTATCTATCTATCTATCTATCTATCTATCCCAGTCTGTTTATATCTATCTATCTATCTATCTATCTATCTATCTATCTATCTATCTATCTATCCCTCCCAGTCTGTTCATATCTATCTATCTATCTATCTATCTATCTATCTATCTATCTATCTATCTATCTATCTCAGTCTGTTCATATCTATCTATCTATCTATCTATCTATCTATCTATCTATCTATCTATCTATCTCAGTCTGTTCATTATCTATCTATCTATCTATCTATCTATCTATCTATCTATCTATCTATCCCAGTCTGTTCATATCTATCTATCTATCTATCTATCTATCTATCTATCTAGCTCTCACTGTTCTTCCTTTCTATCTTTCATTCTGTCCATATCTATCTATCTATCTATTTATCTATCTCACAGTGTCCTTTCGTTCTTTCTCTTTCAGTCTGTTCATATCTATTTATCTATCTCACACTGTCCGATCTATCTATCTATCTATCTATCTATCTATCTATCTATCTCAAACTGTTCATATCTTTCTCTCTATCTATCCATTTATCTATCTCAAACTGTTCATATCTCTCTCGCTCTCTCTCTCTCTCTAGCTTGCTAGCTAGCTATCACAATCTAAAAATTAAATTCAATCTAGATTAGTATATATATATATATATATATATATATATATATATATATATATATATATATATATTAAATGCCAACCGATTTAGGTAGTATCCTCTCTCCCTTGAAGATGCCATAAGTGTTTCCCGCGCCATGATTGGCGTGTTTATTAATTTTTCCTTCCAGTCTTTTGGATCAGACTTTGACCTTGCTCCGGCCGAATATCACAGGACAGCGTCCTGGCAAGTTTAATATAGAAACTTATTGATTCACCCTGGCTTCATATCCAATCCAGAAACAGCGCTCACGTTCAACTAAAATGTTTACGATCAATTTGATCCTTTGCTTTTTCTGTTTTCCCGGCTAAATCTGTGAACGCAAATCAGTCCCGGATCCGTTTGCGTTTCCCCAAAATACCAGATGATTAAGAACTAAACTGTCGAGTTGCAGTTTAACGGCTAGTGGTTAATTATAGTGTGCAGCTGAAAGGAATTCTCATATATATATATATATATATATATATATATATATATATATATATATATATATATATATATGGTGTGTGTGTGTTATTCAGGTGTACGTATATAACTCTGGTTTCACGACGACACTCTCTCAGACACATAGCCACACATACATACGGGTGTACGAATTTTAGTTCACACCGACAAATCAATATAAACAATTTGAGGCTAGGCGCAGATAAATATGTATGCTTTCGGGCATCCATACATACGTAAATGTAATTCTGTTTCTGTGTCCAGACCTTAGCTTTTATTATCACTTTGTCTGATGATGGCAAAAGCGTGAAATCCAACGTTACTCACATTCATAATACGGAATGCGTTAGATCTATCACTGATATTGAGCACTTCCCAATAATATATATATATATATATATATATATATATATATATATATATATATATATAGTTGTATATTTAGGCAGTAATCATTCCTTTATGCATGTTTCATTAAAAATGACAGACAAGGTACTACGGTTAAGCTTTTTATTTATTTTTTCTTGTGTTCGAACAAGAGTTTTCTTTTCTGGACATAGAGTGTAAAAAACTGTCCAAATATTTTATATTTCGGAGCGCTTTCGGCTATACCGTTAGCCATTATGAAGGATGATTCGATTTTTCAGCTTAATTGAGTGTGTGCATTATGTGTATATCTTAGTGTGTGGTAGTGATGTTTTTAATTTCCGTCGTTTTTAATAAAATATGCATAAACGAAGGATTGCTACCTAAATCTACAACTATATATATATATATATATATATATATATATATATATATATATATATATATATATATATATATATACACATATATTAAAATATATTATGCTTTATTTTTAATGCATACATTAAATGATGTTTATTTAAACAGTATAAATTACATTTACCGGCTTGATTGTTAAAATTAATTCACATTTAACTATATATCAGGTCATCTCATAAGTTTTGTCCGAATTTTGAATAAAGAAAACAAGTGACCAAATGTTACATTTAATTACAGATTCAATCAACAATATATTTTCCCTGATTATCTATGACTTCCTTCAATCTAATAACAAGCTTACTAATTCCATTACTGTAAAGTTCTTTGGGCTTTGATTCGAAGAACTCACAAATGTCAGTTTTAACCTCTTCCTGTGTTACAAAAGCTGTTTCTTCCAAATGATTCTATAAGCTACAAAACAAATGGTAGTCTGAAGGAGCAAGATAGGGAGAATTCGGTGGATGGGGAATTTTCTCCCAACCAAGTTCTTCGATCTTTTTTGACGTGATTCTTGCTGTGTCGTGTTGCGCATTGTCCTGATGAAACATCACCTCTTTTCGATTCTTTTCTGGACAAAGGTTCCGAGCGCTTTCGGTTATACCTTTAGCCATTATCAAGTAATCTGCATACACAGAACGCACCCACTCAATTAAGCTGAAAAATCGAATCATCCTTATATATAAGGATCAAACAATAATATTTCATGGTTATAATTTATTTCAATGGAATCGTAATAAGAACTCAGTTCATGGGATGTACAAATTCAAAAATAATTTTTGAATTTGTAGACCTGATTAATTGAGTTCTGATTACGATTCCAATGTAATAAATTATAACCATGGAGTATTAGTGTTTGAGCCTTTTATATTATATTCTTGCGCTGACCTGGACATTGAGCTCTACCTGGATTCTATTCTCTCTGGAATTTACATATATATATATATATATATATATATATATATATATATATATATATATATATATATTGTGTGTATTTAGGCAGCATTTTTCATTCATACATGTTTCATTAAATAATATAGAAAAGTGTTGTCTATTTATTTTATGTAAATTCTTTTCATAACGTCTGATAAGCTTAATAGCATTATCATTAAACGAAGAAAGAAAATCACAATATTGATCCATATTTTTTCATCCAATTTAAGCTTTCGGAAAGAAACACATAAACCTAACTATCCTCTCCATCCTATCATATCGCAAATTCCAACTCCTGTATATCATCTAACTAAATACATCAACCAGCTCCTTACTCCCTACCTTCCTAGTAAATATAATGTTAAGTCAACGTTAGAAGTAATCCAAATCCTAAAAAGTGAAAAACCCGACAATGAAATCATAGCTTCACTTGATGTTGAAAATTTATTTACCAATGTCCCTGTTAGTGAAACTATTGACATAATTATAAGAAATATATACAGTAACTCATCTTTACCCCCACTCAAAATTTATCCTAATATATTATGGAAACTACTACTAACTTGTACTACTGAAGTCCCTTTCTTAGATCATAATAATAATAATATATATATATATATATATATATATATATATATATACAACGTAATGGTGTCTCCATGGGTTCAGTACTGGGTCCGACATTTAGCAAATATATTAGTATTAGTGTTTGAGCCTTTTATATTATATTCTTGCTGTGTCTCTGATATAGCGCTCTACCTGGATCATATCCTCTTGTAAATATGTTAAACTGATATCCATACAACTGAATATGTTTGCTCTATCACTGATAATGAGTACTTTCCAATAAGAACTGCGCATATAAAATTGTACATATATATATATATATATATATGGTAAAGATAGAGCGTGAATAGAATTAATGTGGAGAAACATCACCTAACTGAGTGGTGTTGGTTCAGTCATACTGACATCGATGTTTCTTGAAAGCACTGCTGTAATGTTTTCCCTTTTCAGGACTTTTGACTTCTCTTTATTTACGAAGTCCTCCCCACAATGATGTGGAAAAAACGGTCTTTTTACGTGGGGCGCTGCGAGCTGCTGGCTACTTCGCAATTTTGTCGTATTTATATACGGTTTGGTGCAATTTGATATCTTTCTGTGGGTAACTGACTTTTCACTTAATGAGTATTGTGCTATAACTTAAGTCGTGTGAGGTTTCTTGGTGATTGTTTGCTTTGTATTGTGCTGACCTCTTTTTGACCGCATTTGCTTAATTGCTTCTTATAGGATTGGTTCTTTTGTTATAGTGAGTTGACCTCTGTCTTTCGTGTCGATGTCAATGTCCGCTTGTTTTTTTTATTTTACTTCGTGGTTAGACCTGTGTATAAGTGTATGTTTAGATGTTTGTGTGTGTGTGTGTGTGTGTGTGCTTAGATATTTGTCTTTGTGTGTATGCTGTTTTGTCATCTGGCTTTTGTTTGGGCGTGAATTAGTATATGCTGTAAGTCTTTATTTAAATGTCTGCATTTCTCCATTATTTCGTTTATTTTGTTTAATAATTTCCTTTGGTTTTTGAATGTAATTATTGCTAATTTCTCTTCTAGGCAATGTTTGCAGTTTCTGCTATTGCACAGACTAATTACGTAATAAACAATATTCATTACGTGAAAAATCCTTTACCCATACAAAGATATGAAATTACACAAAACTTAAATACGACAAAATTGAGAAGTTTCAGCAGAGAAGACAATATGCCCTGAAGAGTTGAAGCATTACTGCTATGTGCGCAGGAAACTTCGAAGTCGCCATGACTGAACCAACACCAGTCCGTTAAGTGATAAGTTTCTTCACATTAATTCTCTCTCTGTCTCTGTCTCTGTCTGTCTGTCCCTCAAGATTACCGATGTTATCGGAAGTAATAGCAGGTTTATGTAGCGTGTGGCAACAGTGTCAGCGCTGATAGGTCTCACATAAGAACGAACGAAGTTGAAGAAATTGTAGGGATTTTTTAAGGACATTGTCCTCAGGATTTAGTCCTAGACGCTTTTTCCACTGAATATGTCAGCAAGGATGTGGCGGTTTTATCTATCTATCTATCTATCTATCTATCTATCTATCTATCTATCTATCACACACTGTGCTTTCTATCTATCTCACACTGTTCTATCTATCTATTTTTCTATCTCACTCTGTGCTTTCTGTCTGTCTATCTATCTATCTATCTATCAATTTCAGTCTGTTCGTATCTATCTATCACAGGTTCTTCATATCTATCTATCTATCTATCTATCTATCTATCTATCTATCTATCTATCACACACTGTGCTTTCTATCTATCACACACTGTGTTTCTATCTATCTCACACTGTTCTATCTATCTATTTATCTGTCTCACTCTGCGTTTTCTGTCTGTCTGTCTGTCTGTCTATCTATCTATCTATCTATCTATCTATCTATTTCAGTATGTTCATATCTATCTATCACAGGTTCTTCATATCTATCTATCTATCTATCTATCTATCTATCTATCTATCACTGTGCTTTCTATCTGTCTATCTCACACTGGTCTATCTATTTATCTATCTATCTCACAATGTGGTTTCAATCTATCTATCTATCTATCTATCTATCTATCTATCTATCTATCTCACAATGTGCTTTCTTTGTTTTCTTTCTTGTTTTTCTATCTATCTAAAAAGATTATGTTAATATTGCTATACAGCTGAGGCATCGAGCCCTTTTTGGAATCTGCCAGGACGAGT